CGATCATATGGCTGTAAAGGCGAACATAGGGTTATCTGAACGAGTAAATGTCACCTGTAGTGCACCTTGCATATTTCTCTTAATGGACTGCATGTACCGTATATGGTGATAAGGTGATATCACTAATGACAGTCGGGATAAGAATATTGTCATTATAACAGCACGAAGATAATGTCATGATAGTATGACAATTTCGTAGTAATATCAAGATGATGATGGTGATAATGACAATAACACGTATATATATATATATATATATATATATATATATATATATATATATATATATAAATATATATATATATATATATATATATATATATATATACTATATATATATATATATATATATATATGATATATATAATGATGATAACAACAATAATGATAGAGGCCATAATAGTAGTGGCAATAGCAATGACAATAATGCGAATAAGAATGATAATAACAATAATAATAATAATATTAATGATAATCATAATGATTATAATTCTATTTATTATAATAGTAAAAATAATAATGATAATAATGATGATAGCAAAAATAATAGTAATAATAATAGTAATAACAAAGACAACAACGACAACAATAATGATGATGATGATGATAATAAAAATGAAAACGATAATAAGGGTATTGATGATAATAATGATAATGATGATCAAAATTATGAAAATAATAATAATACTGATATTGGTAAAAATATGTAATAATAGTTATGATAATAACGATAGTAATAATAATGATGGGGATAATGATAACAACAGAAATAACAATAATGATGCTAACAATGGTGATAATAATGATACTGCTAACAATAAGAATGATAGCAATAATAACAAAAATAATAATAACAATGGTAATAATAATAACAATAGTAATAATAATTGTTATTATTGTTATCATGAATGTTATCATTATTATTGTTATCATGAATGTTATCATTATTATTGTTATCATGAATGTTATCATTATTATTGTTATCATGAATGTCATTATTATTATTGTTATCGTGAATGTTATCATTATTATTGTTATCAATATTATTATCATTATTATCAATTTTATTATTATCATCATTATCATTATAGTCATTGTTATTATCATTATTACTTCATCACTACTTATTATGACAAAATAATTGTAAGAATGAAAATGAAATAATAATGATAAAGAAATAGTAATAGTAATAATAATAGTAATGAAAATAACAATAACAATAATAATAACAGAAGCAGTCGTAATGATGATGATAATAATAACAATGATAATTATAATAATGACAGTAATAACAATAGTAATAGTAATAATAATGATATTAATAATCAAGATGATAACAAATATAATCATAATAATAATAATAATGATATTGATATTAATAATACTAAGGAAATAGTAATAAAGAAAATCATATTAATAACACCAATGATAATGATAAGAATGATGATATTAATCACAGAAAAAATATGATAATATCAACAACAATAATGATATATATAAATATTATAGGAATAGTGATACGAATAACAATGATAACAATCATCATCATCTTTATCAAAATGATGAAAGTTATAGTAATAATGATAATGATAGGTAATACTTGTAATTATAATGATGATAATGATAATGATACTAAAGATAATAGTGACAATAATAATTATGAAAATGATGATGACAATGATAGCAATGAAAATAACAAAAAAATAATAACGATTATAACAATTATGATAATGATTCATCACTGTTGCCATTGCAGTTCCTGATTCTAAGCCGATCAAGCAATCTGCAGCTGGCTGGAATGTTGCATGACGTTGCAGAATTATTCTCTGTTGTTAAATAGTTTTTTTCTCTCTATCTCTCTATCTCTCCCTCCCTTCCTTTCTCTTCCCTCTCCTCTCTTACCACTAGCACCTTCCGGTTCCCTATGCTAAGGTAAGGTGTTTATATAAATAGAGAGATATTTAGTTATAGAGATACATCATAATAGAGATCTAAAATGTGTGTGTGTGTTTGCTTATATCTCTCTCTCTCTCTCTCTCTCTCTCTCTCTCTCTCTCTCTCTCTCTCTCTCTCTCTCTCTCTCTCTCTCTCTCTCTTCTCTCTCTCTCTCTCTCTCTCTCTCTCTCTCTCTCTCTCTCTTCTCTCTCTCTCTCTCTCTCTCTCTCTCTCTCTCTCTCTCTCTCTCTCTCTCTCTCTCTCTCTCTCTCTCTCTCTATATATATATATATATATTATATATATATATATATATATATATATATATATATTATATTCGGATATAGATAGATAGATTATATATAGATAGACTGATAGAGAGGGTGATGAATAGATAAACAGACAGATAGAGTGTTTTTGTCTTATTGTCTTAATGTTTTTCCTTTTCCTTTAATATTTTTCTTTCAAATTAGAATTAGCATTTACCATCATATTCTACGTTTTTTTTTACATCTGTTCTTTATTATCACTTTCTTCCAATTGTTTTTTCTTTCTCTTTCTACTGCTGCTATTCTTAATTCCATATTGTTTAGATTTATCTTGCTTTCTTTTTTTCTTTCCTTGCTTATTCTTTTTTGTCGTGCTCCAATTCATTTTTCACAACTACTGCTTTTCTCTCCTTTTCTTTTTCCATTCTCCTCTTTCGTAATTCCTATTCCTCCATCTCCTCTTATTCTCCCTCTATTAACTCTCTCTATCCATCTTATTAGTAATACCCTTACTCCATCTCATGTTATTCTACCTCTTCTTCCTTTAATTTCCTCTTCCACCTCTTCTCCTTCTTTCCTTTCCTTCTTCGTCACAATCTTTCTGTTTCAGTTTCCACCCTTTCGTCTCTCAATCCCGTCTCTCCTTCCTCCTCTTTTTATTTTCTTAATCGCCCATCCTCTTCTCCCCCCCTCCCCCCTCCACCTGTTTTCCACCATTTTTTTGCTCCTCCTCCTCCTCCTCTTTCTCCTTCCCGATGCTTTCTTCCTATTTTCTACCTCTTTCTCTCCCTCTTCCATATATCCACTATTCCTCTCATACTTCTTCCCTCTTTTTCTATCTCCTTCTCTTCCTCTTCCTTCCTCTTTCTCTACTTACTAAATCAACTTACAAAACCCTTCTAATGAAAAGGCAACACCTATTCCACTGCAACAGCAACAGGAGATTGCAAGGGTCAACAGCACCGAACAGGTAAGCCCAAAGTCTGTGCTGCTCACCTGTGATTTGCAGCGTGAGTCAGCACTGCATTTGCTGCCTTGCCTCACCCTAGCGTATAGGATTAGCTAAGAGTTATAATTGCGGGTTTTGGGATGGAATTTTGGACTCTATGGTCTTTGGTAGTAAGGGTTAGGTGTGATGTCATCTGCCTATCTGGATCTTTCTCTTTTTCTCTTCAACTCGTTCTCTTCTCTCTTCTGTCTCTTTTATCATTCTCTCTCTATCTCTCCTCTGTCTTTTCTACCATTATCTCTGTCTTTCTCTCTCTACCTATCTATCTAGATATATAAATAGATAGATAGATAAATAGGTAGAGAGAAAGAGAGAGAGAGAGAGCGATATAGATAGATAGATAGATAGAGAGAGAGAGAGAGAGAGAGAGAGAGAGAGAGAGAGAGAGAGAGAGAGAGCGAGAGAGAGAGGAGAGAGAGAGAGAGAGAGAGAGAGAGAGAGAGAGAGAAGAGAGAGGAGAGAGAGAGAGAGAGAGAGAGAGAGAGAGAGAGAGAGAGAGAGAGAAAGAGAGAGAGAGAGAGAGAGAGAGAGAGAAGATGATAGATAGATTAGATAGAGAGAGAGAGAGAGAGAGAGAGAGAGAGAGAGAGAGGAGAGTGAGTCAGACAGTGAATGAGGTATCATTATTATCATTATCGTCCTAATCATTATGATTGTTTTTATCATTCTCATTATTATTGTCGTTATCAATCATGTTTTTTTTCATTATCAATATCATCATTACCACTGAATTTTTTTATTCATTATTATCATCATCATCATATCTTGTTATTTATTAATCACTATTATTGTTAATCACTTATGGATATTTCATTCTCATTCTCAGCATCAGTCGTTTTTGTTTGCTTTTAACACATCCTCATCATCGTTATTTTTCTTTATCATTGTTATGAAATATTATTATCATTATCATCATCATTTCTATTTTTTCATTATTATTATCATCTTTTTATTAACTATTACTATTATTATTATTATTATTATTATTTATTATATTCATTATTATTATTATTATAATTATCATTATTATTGTTATCATCATTTTCATTATTATTATCATTATCATTATTTTCATTATTACTATTATGATTATGATTATCATTAAAATTATTTTTATCATTATCATTATCTTTATCATTTTTGATATCATTTTTATTGTGTTTATTCTTTCTTAGTTGTCATAACTATTATCATCATTGTTATAACATAACTGTTATTAACATTTAGAAGATAATTGTTGTTATTGCTACTGATGTAATTATTTTTTTACATTATCTTTAATCGTAATCCACCATTATCCATATTGGCTGCTAATCCCTTCTCTCTCTCGATCTCCTCTCTACATCTTTTCCTCTCCTGTCCCTCCTCTCTCCTCCTCATGTTCGTGTCTTTCTCCGTTGGCGGGCTTCTCCCCTCCTCATTCTTGCGGTCGTCCTGCTCCCCTCTTTTTCCTCTTATTCGTCTCTCTCTCTCTGTCTTCATTATGCGTCTTCTCCATCCTCTCGTCACCCTCTCCTCCTCTCCCCCCCCCGTGCCTCTTCTCTCTCTCTCTCTCTCTCTCTCTCTCTCTATCTATCTATCTATCTACTCTATCCTAATCTATCTATCTATCTATCCCTTCCATCTAACGTATACTATCGCATCTTTTCTCTCCTCTCTCTCCTCCTCCCGTCCCTCCCTCCCTCCCCCACCTCTTTCTCTCTTTCTCTACTATCAAATCTTTTCCCTTTTCCTCTCCCCTCGTCTCTGTTTCATCTTTAAACACTGCGTCCAATTAACACGTAGTGAAGATGCATCTGTCCCTTTAAGATGAGCGGAACAAGGGTGATTGTCTTGGGTGCCGACAGCGGAAAGAGAGAAGTATGGAACAGAAGGGGGAGAAAGGCGGGAAGGGGAAAGGATAAAGGGAAAGAAGGGAGAGGAGGGGGGGGGAGGTGGGAGCCAGTTGAGGGAAGGGATGAAAAGGGAGAGAGGGTGTGGTAACTGAGGGAGAAAAAAGCGAAAGGAAAAGGGATAAAAGGGGAGAGAGGGAGAGAAGGGGGAGGGGGGAGGGGAGAAAGCGAGGGAAAGGGAAAAATGGGAAAAAAGGGAGAGAGGGGTGTGAAACAGAGGGGAGAAAGCGAAAAGGAAAAGGATAAAAGGGGAGAGAGGGGGAGACACGGGAAGGGGAGGGGGGGGCTGGGGAGAAAGCGAGGGAAAGGGATGTGGAAAGGGAGAGAGGGTGTGGACCAAAAACAGAGGGGGAGAAAGTGAAGAAAAGGATAAGGTATGTAAAGGGGAGAAGGCGAGAGAAGGGGGAGGGGGAGGAACAGCGAGGGAAAGGGATTTGAAAAAGGGGAGAGAGGGTGTGTGGAAACAGAGGGAAAGAAAGAGTGAAGGAAAAAGGATAAGGATAAAATGGGAGAGAGGGGAGAGAATGGGGGGTGACGAAAGCGAGAAGGAAGGGGAATAAAGGGGAGAGGGGTATGAAAACAGAGGGGGAAGAAGAGTGAGGGAAAAAGGGATCTAAAAGAGGTGAGAGGGCATCGGAAAACAGAGGGAAGAGAAAGTGAAGAAAAAGGATAACAAAGGGTTTGGAGAGAGGGGGGTAGAAAAAGGGGAGAGAAATAGAGAGGTTGGTAAGGAGGGAAATGAGAGAAGGGGGAAGATAATGAGAGGTTGTGAGAAAAGTGGGGGGGGTAAGCGAAAAGAATGGAAGGGGGAAAGAATGGGGAGGATGAGAGTGACTGGGGAAGGGAAGAAATAGAAACAGGAGAGGAGAGAAATGGAAGGGAGAGTGGAAGAGAGAAGAGGAGAGGAGGAGAGTAGGAAGAACCAAGAAAGGAGAGAGAAGAGAAGAGGTGGGGAAGAGCATAAAAAAGAGAGAGACAGAAGTTAGAGGAAGAAAATAAAAAAAAAGTAAGGGGGAAAAATAAAATAAAAAGGAGAGAAAAAAGATAAGAGAAAGAGAAGGCAGGAGGGAGGGGAGAAGAGANCTCTCAGTGATCGATAAAGCTTCTCTCAACGAAACAGTGACGAAAAACTCTGCGACGTGGAACTCTGCATACAAAAACAGTGACGGAAAAATCTCCAACGAAAACAGTGACGGGAAAACTCTGCGACGTAGGAATACTGCGATGAAACAGTGACGAAAACTCTCCAACGAAATAAACAGTGACGAAAATAATCTCCCAACGAAAACAGTGACGAAAACTCTCTGCAACGAAAACAGTGACGAAAACTCTGCAACGAAAAACAGTGACGAAAACTCTGCGACGGAAACTTGCAACGAAAACAGTGACGAAAAACTCTCCAACGAAAACAGTGACGAAAACTCTGCGACGGAAAACTCTGCAACGAAAACAGTGACGAAAACTCTCCAAACGAAAACAGTGACGAAAACTCTGGACGAAACGGAAAACTCTGCAACGAAAACAGTGACGAAACTCTCCAACGAAAACAGTGACGAAAACTCTGCTCAACTCGAAACAGTGACGAAACTCTGCAACGAAAACAGTGACGAAAACTCTGCGAAACCTGGACGAAAACTCTGCAACGAAAACAGTGACCGAAAACTCTTCCAACGAAAACAGTGACGAAACCTCCGACTCTGCACGAAAACAGTGACGACAACTCTGAACGAAACAGTGACGAAAACTACTGTGACGGCTGGCTTGCAACGAAAAAGTGACGAAAAAAACTCTGTGACGAAAACTCTGTGACGAAAACTCAACGAAAACAGTGACGGAAAACTCCTGCAAACGAAAAACAGTGACGAAAACTCTGCGACGGAAACTCTACAACTAAACAGTGTGACTAGAAACCACTGCGACGGAAACTCTTGCGACGATAAACTTCTTGCCAAGAAAACAGTGATCGAATACTCTGCGACGAAACTCTTGCAAACGTAAGAAACAGTGACGAAAACTCTGCGACGAAAAACTCTGCAACGGAAAACAGTGACGGTAAACTCTGCGACTCGAAAACTCTGCAATAAGAAAACGTTGTGACGAAAACTTCTGATTTCAACGAAAAGTGTATCGAAAAACTCTTGCGACGGAAACTCTATTGACGTGGTGAAAATCTCTGTTGTACTCTGAATTAACTTCTGCGACACTAGAGGACGAACTCTTGGCAATTCTGAATGAGAGATGTGATATCGTGAAACTCTCTGGCAGACTCGTAAAACTCTGTCAAAGAAAAATGGTGACGGAAACTTCTGCAACGAAAACAGTGACGAAAACTCTGCGACGGAAAATCTTACGTGAAACTTCTGCAACGGAAAACATCTGCGATGAAACTCTATGACGATGAAACTCCTATACGAAACTCTATGACAAAAACTCTGTGACTGAAACTCTGCGACGGAAACTCTGCGGAACAAAATAACTCTCTGCCACGAAAACCTCGACGAAACTCTGCGGACGAATACTCTGCGAACGATAAAAACTCTGGACGAAAACACTCTGTCGACGTGAAACTCTGTGACGATAGATCTGTGGTCTGACTGATTAAGCTGCTTGACGTAAAACTCTGCTACTCAGCAATATTCTCTGCGATGTGAAAATCTATGTGGACTCGAAATAACTGTGGCGGACGATAGGAGACTGCTGCGACTTGAAGAGTCTCTCTGGTGATAGGCTGAAGGACTCTGCGATGCGAGAATAGGCTATCTGCACGGAAAACTGCTTGATGACTCGGAACTTCTGTCGATCGAAATAGATACTCTGTGACGGAAACTCTACTGACGTAAAACTCTGCTCGACGGAAGATAACTTCTGCGCTCGATAAAGCTTTCTGTGTATAGTACGGAAATCTATGCGACGAAACTCTGCGACGAAGCTCTGTGACTCATGAAACTCTGCGATTACTGAAAAAATCTGCTGACGAAAGGCTCTGTTGACTCGAAACTCTGCGACTTAAATATTTACTCTGCGACGAAAGCTCTGTAGACTCGTGGAAAAACTTTCTGCGATCCGATAATAATACTCTGTGCGACGAAAGAATCTACTGTAGTAACGTTAAAACTCTGCGATATAACGTAAATAAAACTATCTGTTGACTTGGAAACTTACTCTATTGACTCGGATTAACTCTGCGTGACTCTGAAAACTACTGCGACGAATAAACTCATGTTTGACTCGGAATTACATTTTCTCATGTGACGAATATAACTCTGTGACGGAACTCTATGACGGAAACTCTGCGATCGAAAAACTCTGCGACGAAAACTCTGCGACGAAAACTCTGTGACGGAAACTCTATGCGAAAAAATGACGGAAAAACTTCTCGACGAAAACTCTGGACGGAAACTTCTGCGACGAAACTCTATGTGACGAAAACTCTGTGACGAAAACTCTGGCGACGAAATGCTCTGTGACGGAAACTCGCGACGAAAGGCTCTGTGACGGAAAACTCTGCTTCGATAACGAATAAACTCTGGCGATAAGAAAGCTCTGTGACTGGAAACTCTTACTGACGAAAGCTCTGTGACTCGAGAACTCTGTAGTTACGAAAAACACTCTGTCAGCATATCTCTCGAAATGTCATCATGTGACGGAATACTCTTGCGCGAAAACTCTGCGACGAAAACTCTGTGACGGAACTCTGCGACGGAAAAGATTCTCCTGACGAAAACTCTGCGAAAAACTCTGTGACGAAAACTTCCAACGGACGAAAAGCTCTGCGACGAAAACTCTGCGACGAAAGCTCTGTGACGGAAACTCTGCGACGGAAAAATCTGTGACGAAACTCTGCGACTGAAAGGTCTGCTGAACGAAAACTCTGCGAACGAAAACTCTGCCGATGAAACTCTGTATATAGTGTGTTATACAATAATGTAAGGTAATAGTTATACTATATATTATATGATATTGGTATATTATATAATAAATATATATATAATACAATATAATATAATTATTATATGCTATGTAATATAAGTTACAACATTTAGTGTATATATATGTTATATACATATGTAAGTATATAATTGATATATATATTATTAATTATTATATTAATATATTAATATATATTACATATATATTTATTATTACTATAACATTATACATTATATAATATATGTTTATACATATAATGTAAGTGTATATATATATATATATATATAATTATATATATATATTTATTAAATAACTATAATATATATACATATACATATATATATATTATATATATATAGTATTATATATTATATATATATAATATTATATAATATATTATATATATATATATATATTTATATTATTACATACTGGTAATATATATATGCATGTATGTATATATACATATTATATCATAATTATGTATATATATGTACTGAATGTATAAATATAGTATAAATATTTATATATATAAATACTATATATTAAGTATTATATATAATTAATATATATATTTATATAAATTATATATATATATATAACATATAATATATATTATTAATATATAATTTTATATATAATATATTATATATATATATTTATATAATATATTATACATTTATAAATATAATACATATATAATTAATTATACCATTATATATAATATATATATAATATATATATACATATATATATATATATATATATATATACAAATTGTAATCTATACATGTAATTATATATAATAACATATATATATAGTATATATTATATATATATATATAATATAATATATATATAATAATAGTATATAATATATATATTATATACAATATATATATAATATATATATACATTTATAAATTTATATATATAAATATGATATAAAGATAATTATATATATAATATATGATCAATATATATATATATATGATATATAATAATATAAATATCTAATACATTATAACTATATATCTATATATATATATATATTATATATATATATAGTATATATATATATATATATATTGTATGGTGTGTGTGTGTTTGTGTGTGTTGTGTGTGTGTGTGAAGTTAATTATGTAATTATATATATTATAAATCAAATTATATTTATAATATTATATAATATAGTAAAATCAGTAATATATTATATATATATAAAAAAATATATATTTTTAGTTGGAATATATTACATTATATTATTTATTTATAAGATAATTATAATATATATATAAAATTAGTAGATATATATATATAATATATATTAATAATATATATTCTATAGTACATATATACTATTACATTATATATACACTGTTTATGTATATATGTGTATATATAATAATTTTAACTATATATATATATATATATACTATTATATATATGTATAATATATATTATATAACTAATATATAATATATATATATATATATATATGTATCCAAACCCATAACACGTACTATATACAACAAAAAATATAAAAATAATAAACATATTAGAAAAAATACTCAGTATATAAAAACAATTTAATGTTAATAAAAAAAAGATAGATAGATTATAAGTAGTATAATTATTACTATATCTATATTAATAGTATCATATATATGTTTATATGAGTGATGGTAGTTATATATATATATATATATATATATATTTATATATATATATATTATATATGTATTCTAATTTATATATATCATATATAAAAGGATATAATAATATTATATATAAAATTTAATACTAATGTGATAGAATTATTGGTGATTATAATATATATGTATATGTATAAGTATATATAAAAAATAACTAATATATATATTATTATATACTAGTGTATTAATATTATATGTAGTTAGTGTGTATACTATTAATTAATATATATATTGATTTAATATATTAAAAATAAATATAATAAGTCTGTATATAATAATATAATATATATTATATATATATATAATATATAATATTATTAAAGCTTTGTTGAGTCGTCCTTTGTGTGTTAGGGTGTAGTATAAGACATATTTTGTGCGTGTGTGTGTATGTGTGTGTGTGAATGTGGTGTAGTGTATTAGTAATTTACAATGTAAGAAATTATAAAAAAGGGTAGATAAAATAAAATTAATAATAGTAGATGGTGATAAAAATTATTACTGTATATAATGTGGTGAGTTTGGTAAGTGTTAGTTATGATCGTGGGATATTAATTAGTAATATATTTTTATTTATTTTGGTTCAAGATAAACTTAATGATATATATTACCAATGTATATGTGTAAATGGTGATGATATTATAAGTGATGTGTAGTTGTGTGTTGATGGTTGTAGTTATGTGTTAATTATATTATTTATTATTGTATGAATGATATGATGAATAATCTGTTCATGAGATGCATTATTGTGCGCCTGCAAATGTATAGTGTAATTTATATAATATTTCATGTGATGTATATACTGTAAGTACACACCAAACAACACACACAACAAACACACACACAATCCAAACATATTAGTATATATTATAATAATGTTAGTATACTTAACCTGTATATATATTATATATTATACTAAATTTATAATATTTATATTCTAAATCTAAATAATTCATATATAATATTAATATTATAAATTAATAATTAATATATATATATATATATTTAATATATGTACTAACATAATATCTATAAACATTAATATATACACTACAATACTATAACTACTATAATCAATACATATAACTATAATAACATAAAGTACTACCCTATATATACACTAAATGATACAAATTACACATACACTAATCTATTACAACACACTAATAATATACATATAATACTACAACACAATATCACTATCACAATACACATACCACACAACAATACTCTAATACTATAAAAACCACACATAACATTATATACAACTATTACTATGTAATAATATATATATATATATATATATATTTTATATATAATATATATAATAATATAAATAAAAAAAAACAAAAAATAAAAAATGATATAAATTCAACAAAATATATATATATTATGTGTGGTGTGAGACAAGTTGTGTTCGAAAAAAATGTAATATTATATATATATGTGATATATGTGTGTTATTAATATATTAAATACACACAATATTATAATATACATAATAATGTAAGAACAATGTTCATGTGAAAATTTTCAATGCTGTCTGATGCTGTATAAATAGCTAAATGACGCGAGGATGTGAAAGTCCCAGGGACTTATATATTTTAGATATATCAGCTTAGCTCGATCAGTATATTATATAATTTGTGCTTATATCATATATATGATTAACGATGGTACTGTGTTGTGTGAGAACCGCTTTGGGTGTCCTACGTAATATAGCTGTGCTGTCGGGATGGGGTTATAAGTGTGT